CCTACCTACCTACCTACCTAAAGCAGGTCCCTTTTGACTGTACCTGGGTCAGGTACGTTTCCGACAGGGGTTTCTAACGAACCGCGCCTCCAAGATCGGCGATCACATCTGCCTGCACTACCCTACCTTGAGCAATTACATACTAATCATTTGCGCTACCGTCACTATAATACCTACTGCCTGCTCTGTCTTATTGATCCAGTTACCGTGATTGACCTCGTCAATAATGGGGCGCTTTAGACCATGGTAGACGGAGACGCGTAACCTTGGAAAAAGAGGTCCAAAGCGCTCTTTGGACGACCTGATCGAGGCAAGTATTTGCCTTGACGCACAAGATTTGCAACGCGATCAAGGGAGATAAGGTTGGTTGAGCGCGCTTTAAACATGCACCAGTGATGTCTAGCGAATGCTGTCTGGAAAAAGTCGATGCTTGGACATGCCATTTGTGTGGGATCACTTCACCAATCAGCCAGGAGCATTGTGACCGTGCAGGATGACCTTGCATATTGTCGTAACCATTAGCAGTCTAGCGAGATCTCCACAGGGGACACGCCTGTTTCGGCACAGTCGATCCGGCTGTTGCAGTGCCAAGAATGTCTGCCTCTTCCTGTAGACATTAAGCGTGTGATGCTACAAATGCACTGCCAGACGCCTTGCCAGTCAAGATCCATAACAGTGGAAAGGAGGGTGATATATAGAGACTTATGATTTGTCCTCGAGCCCCTCAAGCAGCAGCTCGTGACGCATACATAGACTGCGGCTCCTGATGTACTGTCATGTTACAGGCCTGGACATTCAACATACCTAGGTAGGTTAGCGGCAGCGTGAGCCACTACAGGGGCCGTCCCGAAGCCCCCGCGCTTATCATTCTCTCTAACCTCCCTTATAGGGCTTAGTTATCAGCACAGGTACTTCTGCTCTGCCTCGGTTCGCAACCTCACTTTCCTTCGCAATCAATTCAAAAGTAGGCAAAATAGAACCCGACTGGGAAGGCCAGCCAGAAAGGTAGAGTGACTCGTGTTCAGCTCATCCCGTAGGCTTTCTTTCTGGAATCGTCATCCGGGCAGCGTTCCGTTATTCGCCGCTTCCGTACGAACAGCATTGAAGGGAGGCGCAACTACGACGCTACGATGCCGCCACGAACGGCCGTTCAAGTCATTGACGATGAGCACACGCCGTTGCTCCAACAAGAAAACACTCCTATCTCGTCGACGAACAACGCGGACGTTGTGGCCTCGACATGTAGAAGGAAGCTTCAATTGAGAACCCAGCTCGTCGCGGTGTTATTTGTCTGCGTACTCTCATTCAACTTACACGTTTCTCTTGCGGCGGAGACCAGCATCCGAGAAGACATTATCTGCAAGGCTTACTATGACCGGTTCGACGATGACGTCTTGTCAAAAGACTCACCAGACCGCGATTGCACAGCGAACGTTGTGCAAAGAGAGCTTACATTGATCAATCAGGTCTATGCGACTCTTACACAACTCCCAGGTAAGTTGGGTGTACAGGCTCTGCCAATAAATGCCTACTCACGAATTGTCCTTCAACCATTAACACAGTGTCGTCCAGGGTTTCTTCTTGCGCTTCCCTATGGAATTTTAGGTGCGTTAGGGCTTGCTTCTAGCTAATTAGCCTAACTGAGCTAACATCTACAACAGGAGATCGAATTGGTCGTAGGAAAGTTCTGTTCCTCTCGATCGCGGGTATCATTTTATGTGAAGCAGTCAAACTTTTCTTTAGTGAGTGCTTTTCAATCCTCGAATTCAGATTCGTGTTGTCATGATCGGACTGACAAATCCAAGCGTGGCAATCCGACCACTTTCCATTACGGGCTGTCTGGCTGGCGTCGATTTTCAGGCTCGTTGGAGGCGGTGATGCTGTCGCGGCTACCATGGTCCTTGCGATGTTAGCTGATGTATATGCGGAGGAGGACAGGTAAGTCAACACAGGTCTCGATATATGCATTCTCAAATTGACTGTCTCGAGAACGACCATTTTCGCAAGAATCGCGGCGGTAGCAACAGCCAGCGAGCTTCTGGCACCTCTTATCGGATCTGCGCTCATGCTGAAAGACCCCTGGATTCCAGTTCTTCTTGGCTTCACGCTCGCCGTGATGGGCTCATTAGCGACTCTTGTGCTTCTGCCTGAAACACTCATACTACGGCCATTATCAGATGAAAATGTACCTAACGCCCAGATCACGACAAAAAGCCAGTCTTTTGAATTCTGGGACCTGGGAGACCGGATACTAGAGACTTGGGAGCTATTTCGACAATACCTCTTTTCACTCTTCGCCATTAAGAATGCAGTCTTTCTACTATTTGGGTTCTTTGCAGCTTCAGTCGGCACCTTGGCCTCGGGTTTCGAATTACAATTTGTCCACAAACGTTTTGGCTGGAGTTATGCATACGTAAGTATCGAAACATCCATTAGAGACCATTAGAGGATGATCGACTAATGTTTCATAGGCTGGCTCTATAATGGCCGTGCGGCCGTCTGTCACCCTTTTCGTGCTTCTGGTTATTATTCCAGTATTTAGCAAAATCCTCATTGGTGGATTCGGAGTCACTAGCACACGAAAAGACCTCTTCTTAGCACGCATCAGTGCCGCTTTGCTCACCGCCGGTACACTACTTTTGAGCATCTCTGAAGTGTCATGGCTCGCCGTTCTCTCTTTCGTTATCCTTGCTTTTGGAAACGCATTTCCCATCGTGGGCAAAAGCTTACTGACGAGTCTCGGCCCGCAAGAAATGGCTGCCACTCTTCTGTCGGCAATGAATGTGTGCGCATCTCTCGGAGCAGTGACTGCTGGGCCATTAATCGCCGTCTCCTTTGACCTGGGCCTGAAATATGGTGGCATCTGGGCTAGCATGCCTCTATTTGTCATCACTTTGCTCTTTGCATTGACTCTAGCGTCGGTTTGCATCATGGAGATCCCTGACAAGCGCAAGGGTGACGGCGAAGATGAGCCGTGATCGAGTGTACTGCCCATGCCTTGTCTAAAGGCATGAGTCGCACATGTGCTGGAAACAATTCGCGACTTTCTGTACGCAGTGGAAGATACCTTCAGATTAGATGTGTCCTTTATAATTATCTCTAGACTACTCGGATAACTCAAGACTCCAGAAATGCTTTACCGAGCTGATATATTCTAATGGCCTATAATTGGAAGGTGAACATCAAGAATACGGCCCGCGATTTCGTCATCTGGCAGACTTGCCTCTCAATAAGCGCTTCACCTAGATCTAAGACTCGTATTTGCAAGAAGGAGGCAAGAAAGCATGAAGCATTCAGCTATTCATTTGTGTATATATAGGAAAGAGAAAGTAAGAGCCAAGATGCATGCAAATAGCCCCGACGCAAATTTCTCTCATGGAAATGTGGTAGAAAGGCGAAGTCTCCCTCGAAGTGTCAAGACTAGTGGCATGGCCCCTAAGGCTAGTTCCCTGGTTCTAATTCGGCGACCTGGCAGATGCCTTGTGTACTTTTCTTTATTAAAAAAAAAAAAAAGGGCTGGTGTTACCCATGAATATAAGAAGAGCTAGGCTTCCTACAATGACAATGGATTGCAACCTTGATCGGGAAGGCTATTTCAATCCTTGTCACCTTTCAAGGAGCCTTCAGTCCCGTTTGGGCGGCGTACTGACTCTTCTCTGCTGCTTTTGTAGCCAGTGATGCCAACGATGGGCTTTGCATGATATCGAAAGTAGACAACTCCGCCCGAGCTGTCGCAGAGAGCCAATTACGGACCTCTACCGCGACAAGAGAGTCGACACCGTAGGAGGCCATCGACAACGTCACGTCAACTTGTTCGACCGGAACAGCAAACATCTCAGACACCTTATTCGCGAGAGCGTCGACACAGAAGCCGACCACTTCGTTCCAGCTCTTGGCGGAAGCGATACGGTCCTTGATCAAGGACGCGGCTGTGGTTTTGTTCGCGGGCCCATTACCTGATTCCAACGCCGAATGTCGCCGAAGTGACCAGAAACGTCGGTCACGCTTCCATGCTACCTCTTCCGCCTCATAGTAAGCACGGATACCGGTGATCACTTGTGTCGACTTGATGGGTCGCAGAGGGTTGCGCATGGCAGACTCAATCAATCGCATAGCGCGCTCCGCAGCAATGGGCTCCATGCCAATCTTCGCCAGGCGCTCGCGGACACCCTCGTTCTCTGCAACAAAGCCGACGACTTCGATAGCGCCGAGATCAATAGAGACAGCAGCCAAGCCTTGAGAGCGACGCCAACGTGCAAAGGCGTCCTGGAATGTAGAACCAGCAGCATAATTAGCCTGACTGGTACCGCCACCCACTCCAATGAGGGAGGACAGCATCACAAAGAAGTCCAGGTCAGGCACATGCCTGTGTAAATTCCATGTCGCATCGACCTTAGGACGGAGCGCTGACTGCCACTGATCATACGTCATGAGTTCGAAGATAGAGTCCTTAACAACGTTAGTCATAGCCTCTATAGGAGCTCAGGGCTCGACTTACATGGAGAGCCATGCCAGCATGGATTATCCCTCGTATTGGCGGTACGCCATTTTCATAGCACCCCTGAAGCACCCACAATAAACTTGCCTCGTCGGCAACATCACAGTTGCGAATAGTGGCGGTGCAGCCCATCGAACCTAGCTCTTTGATCAACGATGCCGCAGCCGGGTGATCTGCAGCAGACCGAGATAGCATGATAAGATTCGAGCACTGTAAATTGGCCATGTATCGAGCAAGCTCTCTTCCAATGCCGCCTAATCCTCCAACAATCAGGTAAGATGCCTCAGGTGAGAAACGAACACGTTCTATAGGAGGATTCACCTATACCGTATTAGTAGTGGCCATGAAGCATTGAGCTGACACATACCTTAACTAGATCACCAGCTCTCGGCACGCAAACAACTTTTCCAAGATGCTTCCCCGATTGCATCAGCCTGAAAGCGCTGGTCATCTCGGACATGGCAAACTGCGTAATTTGTGTGGGTGCATTGATGAGCCCCTTGGACCACAAATTCATGACCTCTCGCATGGCTTTCGCGATGGAATGGGTGCGATGTTTGATCATGTGGTTTAGATCAATTGCGGCAAAGGAGGCGGCTCGTCGCAATGGCTGCATCTCAAGACACTTATTCTGTTCAATATCACGTTTGCCGATCTCGATGAAGCGGCCAAAGCTCGCAATACAATTCCACGATTCCTTTAGCAGGTTGCCCGCTAGCGAGTTGAGTATCACGTCCACGCCATTGCCGTTGGTTGCGGCCATGATACCGGCGGCAAAAGACGTGTCTCTGCTCGAGAAGATGTGGTCTTCTGCAATGCCATATATCTGCATGATAAAATCGCGTTTGGCTTCCGTACCCACAGTGACGAAAATCTCCGCCTTGCGTTGTTTTGCGAGCATAATGGCAGCCTGACCTACTCCACCACTTGCAGCGTGGATAAGGACACTCTCGCCTTCTTCGAGCCTGGCACTGACGAATAATGATTGATAAGCAGTCATGAAAACCATGGGAATTGCTGCAGCCTCTTCGAAGCTTGCATCTTCCGGAATATGACCTGCCCACATCCAGTGGACTCGCACGGGTGTTCCGAAATGGCCTTCATAACGGCACAGATTCGGTCGCCCACTTTGAATTGAGAGCTATCGACACCTTTGCCGACACGCGTGATAACACCACTACACTCATAGCCGAGATGGTTGCCATCAATGTGGCCGAGGGTGATCAAGACATCTCTAAAGTTGACACCAAACGCCTTTGGCTCAAGCTCGATGTAATCGTCAGGGAGAGGCTCATACATGACCTCGTTCTCAACGAACCTGAGACTGTCCAAGAGTCCAGTAGTCTCGATGTCCACTTTCAGAGGAATTTCTGACCCGACGAAATCTGCCATCTCATGCTGTGATGTCGCAGGGGAAGCAGAAATTGCTTTGTCCTCTTCCTGGTCTTCGAAAAGGCGAGATACGTGTAAGACCGATTCTCTTACAGCGAACTCGCAGTCAATCTGATGGTGATCCTCACTAAGATTGAAAGATGACATGATGACTTTCTGAACGAAGTCCGAAGTTTCCCGGCTCCAGACATTGCTCTCGGGCTCGAGGTCTAGTGAGATAAGCCTCTTACCATGATCTTCCATTCTCAAAGTTCGCAGGAGACCTTTACTCAATCCGAATTCGGGCAGACAACCGCCGACGATACCACCGGCTGATATCCAGAGAATACCGTTAGCCTCTAATAGCGTTCGTTGGAGATGCTGGAATTCTTCGCTATCTATGCTCTGCAAAAACGGTCCAAACACATCAAGTAACAAGATGCAGAACTTCCCCTTTGGCTCGCAATTCTCAAGATGTTCGACTACTGTTCGGATGCCACTGGAATAATGCAAAGACTGTCTGAAATCTGCAAGCCAAGAATGGGCGACAGCTGAGATGGGAGCGTCGACCGGCCATATGATAGACATTTCTTGAGGATACCGAGGTGGCTTGCCAACAGCTGTGGTAAGCATAGTACTAAATGATGTCTGTCTGCTGTCCTCGCAATCGCCAACTTCCACGTCTAGACCGGAGAAACCAGTATCTAGGAGAGTCATGTTCCATGTTTGCGTGGACATGTTCGGACCAGCCTTTCTTCCTTCTTCCGCACCCGCCCACCATCCTGGCAGGGTACCGAAGATCAGCTGAACATCGATTGTGTCTGTGGTGGTCTCGACCATGATTAATTTGCCGCCTGGCTTCAGAAGCTTGCGGACATTCGACATAGTTGTTTGCATATTCTTGGTGGCATGCAGGACCTGGCTGGCTACAATTAGGTCGTAGCTTCCTGCCTCAAAAGACTGAGTCGTGGGATCTACTTCTATGTCGAGCTTCATGAACGACATGAGGCCCGCCCATTTAGCGAATTTATCAGCGGCTTGCTCAAAGAATCCGGATGAAATATCCGTAAAGTCGTAATGAGAGAAGTGGAATTGAGTACCGGCGACAGAATCGCTGGTCAGAGCCTGCAGTACTGATGTTGTGCAGCCGCCAGTACCGCCTCCTATTTCGAGTATCTTTCCCCGAGGGGTCTTGTGGCCAAACAGGCGGACTAGACGTTCTACTTGTAGGTAGGATCGATCGGCATGGAGAGCGTTTTCGTAAAACTCATAAAGGAGGTTGCCTTCCATCATTAATTCGAGTGGTGCTGTCTGTTGCCTCAAGATATTCACTAGTGAGTGGCCAATGCGACAAGTTAATTGACCGTTGACACTGGCTTTGGAGACTTCGTCGTACAATTCCTTCTTTGAGACGTCACTGGCAGTAGCCCACGATCTGCTCCCATCGTCAAGCTCACCAGTCATAGCCCGATTGTCTACCTTCAGCATCCATTCGAACATGAATCGGTGGTATGGAGTTAGGTTCTTGACATCCGAGTCCGTTAATTGTTCTAGAGCATCGTGAACAAAATGAAACGTAGCACGGGCGAGGTCTTTGCTGATGATGATCTCCTGCGGATCTGACTCAAATGTCAGACCCTTCTTAATGTCAGAGGATGCCATGAGTGTCCAATCGGGATGCCATTTCATCTTGAAACACGTGTTTATTTCATCCTGTGTGTTCTCTAAGGTCGAGATTTGATTGATTGACTGATAAAAGAGGCCGTCAATCTTTAGCAATGTACTACCACTAGTGCCATCTGAATCAATGACACTCATAGTGCTAGAGAAGCCTCGCCGTTCTTGCCTTTCGACCACGGAAAGTGCTTTAAGAAACTCCTGAGAACGTGCGGAGATGTCGCTGGACACGAACATTCGTGAAATAGAACGGGGCAAGACCATCGAGCCATGATAAGCATCGGTCCCCAAAGCCGAATAACCAGCCTGGATGACCGTGTCCAATGTAGTGGGATGCAAGATAAGATTCGTAGTCTTGGAGTAGCCTGAATTGGCTGTCTCCGGGTCTAGTACCTTGAAAGTGGTCGCCGAGCGATTGTCATCTGCCTCGATTGACAAAATGTTCCTGAAAGAAGGCCCATGATAGATCCCGCTAGCGGTGAGACGTTTGTAAATGCTGTCTGCATTTACACTCTTGCTTTGGGCCAGCCCAGAATCCTCTGGGGTTCTTCCAAGCCTCCCCACGGCCGCGTAACCCCAGCCATCTGGAGCTGATGACTCAAATACAGCTGATACGTATCCTTTGCTATGGTGCAGCCAAGAATCACCAGTCTGCTGAGTAGAGTAAAGGTGAAATTCCCACCAGTTCTGGTCATCCAGGTCGCTGCTATTGCATTGACGGATGGAGAATTGGATCTCAATGCCATCAGTAGTATCAGGAATGACCAGCGCGTTGATAAACTCAATATCCCGCAGCTTGAAGTTTAAGATTTCTGATCCAGATGCCTCTGTTATCTGTCGCAATGCCTCAATGGCCATGCTAATGGATCCTGCTCCTGGTAAGACTATTTCTGACTGAACCAGATGGTCACGAAGCCAAGGCATGTCTGTTGGGCGAAGGAAGTGACGCCAGATGGGGGCCAGAGGATTCGTTCCAGGAACCAAGTGACCTAGAAGACTGTTTGGCGCATGCTTACGATGACGGTGCGATGCATTCAGTCTGGATTCTTTCCAATACTTGATGCTGTGATTCCAGGGATAAGATGGAAGGTCATTGAGAACTCGCATGTTAGAGGTTTCGCCAGAGAAGTTGACTGCATCCAGATCAACAGGATATCCCTTGCACAAAAGCGTCGCTGCTAATTTCTGTGCGGTAGTTACAGCGTTCTGCCCACGCACTAAGCAGGAAGCATAGGTGATGTCACGGTCCTTGAGACTTGATAACTTCAGAGTTTGTCGAATAGGTCCAGCCAAGGCGCTGTGTGGTCCAAGCTCAAGGAGTGTATGGATGCCACCATCGGCAGGGCTAATCGAGCACACGTTTTCCAGCGCTGTTGAGAATAAAACAGGCTGAAGCATGTTTCGAATCCAGTTCGTTGCTTGAAGGCTGGATAGATCCTTAATGATGCCTCCTGTTACCGGAGATCCATATATGACTGTAGTCTGACCTTTCTTCGGCGAAAGCAGTGAATTCAAGAGACGCAAATATTCGTCTGCCATTGGCAGCATGTGGTGGGAGTGATACGCGGCACTTACCTTCAGCTTGCGTGCAAATACGCCGGCCTTGGTACAGCGCCGCTCTACTTCGTCGATGGCGACCTCATCGCCGGAGAGTGTTATACTTGACGGGCTATTGACGCAAGCTACTACCGCCTTGCCGGAACTAAGAGATTCGAGGTAAGGAATAACTTCCTCGTGGCCTAAGCCAACAGCCATCATTGAACCTTCCCAGACAGAAGTATTGTGGTATTTCTCCGCCAGAACACCCCGATGATAGAGAACACCGAGGGCTTCTGAGAAGGTCAGTGCACCGGCTGTATAAGCCGCTGCTATCTCTCCACTGGAATGGCTGATCACCGCAGCGGGTCTGATATTCCACGACGCGAGCAGCCTAACAAGGCAAACTTGCAGCGAGACACAAAGTGGCTGGCTTAGAGCCGGGTCGTGTATCCGGCTCGAGCCTTCATCCTTCATAAGTTCTTCTGTTAGAATCGTTAGCAACTAATGTTTTGTGACGATGCAGCGGAGCATACCAATTAGGGACCACGAGGCACCTAATCCCCTAAATATGCCATCAGCCTCCTCCATAGCTTGTCGAAAAACCGGGTATGCAAATAATTCCCTGCCCATGGCAAACCATTGCGCACCCTGACCGTTGAAGACAAAGCCTAAGCGGGGGGCCTCGCGAGTGTATGTTGGCTTTGTCGAGGGATCTTTTAGTGCAGTAACAAGCTCGGAGCCAGTTGATGCAGTGACCGCAACTCGCCATCCGAATAGAGAACGGCGTGCACCAAGTGTATGAGCAAGATCATTCAAAAAATGAACCTCGTCCACTCTCTCCTTCCTCTCAACGTAGTCTGTGAGATTGGACATCATGGCCTGCGTTACACCTGCATCTTTGCTTGTCAATAAGAAGACTCGTTGATCCTTCTTGTAAATAGTTTCAAGCTCGTCCGGGACACTCGACAGCTCCGTGGACGCAAGGCTCTCTTGAGAGCTTTGATTTCCATTCCGCTTATAGTGCTCATCCAGTTGGAGTTCATTTATCAAGCCGTTGCCTTTGGCTTGAAGAAACCCCTTGACCCGAGCTCTCTGAAAGTCATCCGAAGTGAAAGCCTCCAGTATTACATGACCATTTGCACCTCCGTAGCCAAAGTTATTGACAGAGGCACGGCGTGGCGACCCTTCTGGCCACGCTTCAAGTATAGTAGGCACCTTCTGTAGTTAGCTTTCATATACGCGACACTTCTGCTGGAGATAATATCACCTTAACATTCAATTTCTTCGCATCAATAGCTGGGTTGTAGTTCTCAAAGTTCAAGTTTGGTGGAATCAAGCCCTTCTCGAGGGCTAGGACCGCCTTAATCACACCGGCTAATCCGCTCGTAGCTTCCGTATGACCCAAGTTCGTCTTGATAGACCCTACGAGAACTGGGGATGTGGACAGTCTACCGGCTCCGAAAACCTGGCCAATTGCGTTAGCCTCTATGGGATCCCCGGCCGCAGTACCTGGACTCTGTTTAGCTGACACGAAGACAGGAGGAACGGCGATGTGTGAACGAATGCATACCCGTCATATGAGCTTCGACATAGGGTGTGTCGGCTGGATCGAGACCTGCTCGAGCGTAACACTCCTTGATGATGTTCACCTGGGCTTCTAGAGATGGCTGGGTGATCGTTTGGGATTTGCCATTGTGGTTGACAGCGGTTTCGCGTATGACAGCTCGAATGTTATCACCATCGCGAATCGCATGCTCTAAAGGCTTTAAAATTAGCGTCGCGATGCCCTCGCCTCTGCCGTAGCCATTGCCACGATCATCCCAAGCATAGCACTTCCCATCCGCACCTAGAACTCTGTGTCTAGTTAGATTCACGGCCTTGGAGGGACATTGGACTTTTCATACCCGAGGTTTGACAGAATTATGAAATTGTCTGGATTGATGAACAGATTTGAAGCAGCGACAATCGACATATCAGCATCCCCGGACCTCAAGCTTTGACAACCTGAATGAAGTGAAAACAAACTAGTGGAGCACCCTGTATCAATCGTCATGCTGGGACCCCGGAGATCAAAGAAATGAGACACTCTGTTAGAGAGCATAGCAGCCCCAACACCTGTGAGCAGAGTCCTCGGGAACGTTTGGGGATCTCGCATGAGGCTATCGCTAAAGTCTCGAACAAAGGAGGATGCAAATACCGAGGTATTGCTTCCTGCGAGCTGTTCGAGTGGCAGGCCCGCTGGGGTTTGTCAGCTCCAAGATAATTAGACCGTGCAGATTCAGCTTACCATTCTCCATAGCCTCGTAAACCGACTCAAGCTGCAGACGTATCTGAGGATCCATGCTCTAGAGACTGTTCAGTTTGCCGCGAAATGGAAACACACACGAGGGTTGTAAGAACACTGACACTGGCGACCTCAGTCGAAAAGTTGAAGAACGTAGCGTCAAATCGAGATATGTCATCATCGATCAAGTAGGCGCCTTCGGCGTTTGTCTTGATATTTGTCAATACGCTGTCCACCCACTCGCATCTGTCTTCTGCAGTGGTTTTCAACAGATACTCACCATTCCCAGCTTTCCATGGTCAGCATCATAGAAGCTATCATGGTTGAATCTGCTCTTCGGGATCTTTGACCATGCGCTGCGCCCTTGAGCGCACAGTTCCCATAGCTTCTCCGGATTCTTTGCATCGCCAGCAAACTTGCAGCTAATGCCAATGATAGCTATTGGAAATACAGGTTGCAATTCGGAAACTGGCGTCAGAATGGCTTGAGGGCCGGCGCTGCTGGAGAACACATCATCGGACAAGGAGCCCCCATCACTTGAGGAGTCGCTCCGGTCCAGAATCATTGGCGCCATCGCAGAATTGAAGCTTGCAGCTTGATATTGGTAGACTGTTGAAAGTCGAAGAGATCAAAGCATCAGAGGAGTGCTGATGGACGTGCAACTTTCAAGGATGAAGTGGAGATGGCTGGAGTGACTTCGACGACTTGGAGATATCAAGAAGAACAAACAGTCTCCATACTTCTCTTTCAACAGCGACCGTTCTCTACCTGCCTTGTACATACATCCTGTGATCTTTGCCTGCGATAGGTTCACGGCCCGGGCCGTTCTGGGAAACCCCAGTGAGAGCTAGACACTAGACACGTCCAATCCACCAACCCCGAACTGACGCTGCATCTGATGGTGCGCTAACAGCTGCAGTGTCCCTCCTAGCGGCGACTGCAAGTCCGCGGCCCCTTCTGCACAGTCAATGTGGGCGGGGCCAGCCCCAATCGACTGGGATCCTACCCCCCTTTAATGTATGTTCGTTACCTTATTCTAGCATTGTTGACACTTCACCTTACCCAACCCCACGGAACCGCACGCCCAGAATAGCATGTAAGGGTGGTTCAGGCAGGTCGCCCGAGCACTACGAGATATTGTCGTCAGCATGCATTGAGTTTCGTGTACTGTACAGTCTAATGCAGCACG